AGGAATAATTATGTTACAAAATATTATACACCCAAGGGCCCAAATTTGAATTTGTTAACTTCTCATGTTGTGTGTTCATTGTCTGTAGAAAGTGATAATCTGTGTGTGATGTTCCCCTAAAATGTGTCACCTGTGCATGATGCTGAAAATGTGTTAAAACATGTTCTACCATCTTCAGATCAGTCTTCTACCAGATCTGGAATGAGAAAATTCACTTCTCTATGATATAAACTTAATGGAGGCGTGTTTCTAAAGAGCAGCACTATTGACATTTTGGGTTGGATCATTCTTTGTGGTGAGGTTATCTTGCGTACTCCAGGATGTTTAGTGGCATCCTTGGTCTGCACCTATTAGGTCCTGGTAGAACTCACCCTCATTTCCAGACATGAAAACAAAAAATGTCTCTAGATGTTGCCAAATGTCCCCTGAAGGGCAAAATCACCCTTTGTTGAGAACCAATGTCTGACAGCATAAGCAACTAATGAAAACATTGACCAAGAAAAAGTAGAATTCTCTAAAGTCATAAATATGTAGATTTTGAAATAATTCCATGGTTATTTATTTATTTTATGTATCTACTTTATACCAAAGCATGTGAAAAAATTTAAATAACACAAATACTTCTTGGCATTCATGTGTCTTTTTTCTATTGCTGGATCTGAAGATGCTTCCTAAGTCCTGCCTCTGAGAAAAAAATTGACCAGGAATAATTCTTAACCTAATTTTAATCTAACTGGAAATAAAAGGTCAAAGTCAAAGAAGCTGGGGAATTAACAGATAAGGTAAGATATTTTTCTATTCATGAAAAGGCAAGATTTGTTGATTTTAATATCCAGTTGATTATCATGATTACTCAGCTCAATTAGTTAAGGTTCTCATGACCTCGTGGATGTCTAAGACAACAGCTTCCAGTTGTCATAACCATACATACATATTTACCTATGTTTTACATCTTTTAAATTAATACATCATTCTCATAAGTTAGGAAGAGTTATTCCTATTCTACAGAAAACTGAGGCTTAGAAAAGTGAATGCTACCATTAGGTGACAGAACTAATAGTCAAGTCTAGGTTTTCTAACTCAATGATTTGTGATCTTAACTCACTGTTCTCAGCTAGGATTATTTTATTAAGTTCTGCATTATTTGTTACAAAGTATAAATTATATCTATACAGTAGATGAAAATGTTACTCAGTTCTGTTTGCCTCAGCTGTCTACAAGCCAAAAGCTGAGAAAGAAATGACTTTATGATCTTAATTTTCATACAATGATCTCCCTTAATTTATAAGTAGAAAAAATTTTTTAAAACAATCAATCAAATCTTTTTTTTCCTCTTGAGACCACTAATTCATCAGTTCATGGTGTATAGATATGATTCTAAACCATATGAAATATTGTAGCACTAAAGTCGTCAGTATTTCATCCCCTAAATTCTAGAATTTGATTTAGCATTTCCATGAAGTATTCACCAGGGGCTTAATTTCTGACTTTCTGAGTTCTGGAAGGCTTGTAGGACACGCAGAATAAGATAGTCATCTTTAAACCCCATGTTGAAGACAGGTCTTCCATTGTGGGAGCACATTCATTTTTCTCTTTAGGAAATGTTACCATTCCTTTGAAAGTCTAATGCTATGCTAACATCAAGTAACATTCAGCAAAATTCAGCCTACATTGTGTTATTTCCATGTTTTGGCGCTATATACATTTGTCTATGCTTTCAACTCAAAAGTTGAGCAATATTGCTTGCTGTATTTTGGTGCCAGCATAGATTTAAGCCATCCAAACAAGACTGCGTATTTGAACTGACAGAGAGTAAATGATTTGCATCTGGCATAACTGATGGTGGTGTCAAAACCTTGGAAGATAATTCATTGGTAAACATATTCCTCTGGATGCCTAGCCACACATGCCCAATTTCCTATCAAGGGATAGAGCCAGATCATTGCCAGAACAATGTGAAATATTTTATGCAGATAATTCAAGAGATTATTTTGCTTTGACAGAAAACGGGGAGTGGGGGGAATATGGTAGTGTTCCTCATTGATGAGGCAAGATAATTTTTTAACCATCATTGCAGAAATTAAATTTCATGCAAAAATGCCTTTATTACAACTACGGAGTTGATGAACTAGTAAAAATAATCACAAACAGCAAGCTTAAAAAAAGTAATCTATAATTCCTGGTTGTAATTGGTAAAGAAAAAAAAAGTTTACATCAGGCCATGACTAAAATGATGACAAAGTAGGAATACAGCATTAAGGTCTTAACACACATATGCGTGAACTACCCAGGTCTCTTCAAAGAAATAATCATAACTAGATACTGTGCTCAATGGAATAAAAATCTTTGAATCTTTCCATTCCTTTCCACTCATAAGGTATGTATACATTGCTTCAGATGTCTGTGTTAGTCTCTTCTTGTGTTGCCATAAAGGAACATCTGAGACTGGGTAATTTCTAAAGAGAAGATTTTTTATTGGCTTATAGTTCTGCAGGCTGTACAGGAAGCAGGGTGCTGGCATCTGCTTCTGGTGGAGCCTCAGGAAGCTCACAATCATGGCAGAAGACGACAGGAACCAGCATGTCTCATGGAGAGAGTGGGAGCAAGAGAGAGAGAAGGAGGAGGTCCCTAACTCTTTAACAACCAGATCTCATGTGAACTAGCTGAGTGAGAGCTCATCACCATGGGGATGGTGCTAAACCATTCAAGAGGAATCCATCCCCAAGATCCAATCACCTCCCACCAGGTCCCATCTCCAACACTGGAAATCACATTTCAACATAAGATTTGGAAGGGACAAACATCCAAACCATATCAATGACATATACCAATGGAATTTTGTCCAGGTGTTCATAGAATTGGGTTGAATTAAATAGTCTCTTGAAGAATGAATGCATGTCATATACAGGGAATAAACTTCAAGATAATTTAAATTAAATACAACACTCTTGCTATTAAACTACATGTACCGTAGTTTATTATCTCTCTGATCATTCAGTTGACCTTTCAGGATCTCGTGGCTCAGTCAAAAACAGCTATTGAGTACCTATTTTGTCATACACTCTGTGCCAAGTATTGGATCTGATACAAAAATGACTGGTTTTTATCTCTGTCTAGCTCTTAGTCCAGGGAGGATATTTAAGAAATTCGCTTTTAAAAATATCATGATGGTAGAGCATACTATTCCAATAGATGTGGGCACAGACTCTGCCTGGGTTATTTCAAAGGCTTCACTGTGAAGGGGATGGTGAAGATTGTATGTTTTTGTCCCCCAAAAATATATGTGCTAAAGCCTTAACTACCAGTTTGGCTGTATTTAGAAATGGGAACTCTATAGAAGTAATTAAGGTAAAATAAGGCCATCAGGGTAGAGCCTTGATCCAACAAGATCAGCATCACTATGAGAAGAGACAGGCCAGGCGCGGTGGTTCACGCCTGTAATCCCAACACTTTGGGAGGCTGAGGAAGGCGGATAATGAGGTCAGGAGATCCAGACCACCCTGGTTCACATGGTGAAATCCTGTCTCTACTAAAAATACAAACAAATAGCCGGGTATGGTGGCACGTGCTTGTAGCCCCAGCTATTCGGGAGGCTGAGGCAGGAGAATGGTGTGAACTCAGGAGGCGGAGCTTGCAGTGAGCAGAGATCACACCACTGCACTCCAGCCTGGGTGACAGAGCGAGACTCCCGTCAAGCAAGCAAGCAAAAAATCAAGCAAGCAAGGAAGCAAGCAAGCAAGCAAGAAGGAAAGAAAGAAAGAAAGAAGAGACATCACTGAGCTCACCCGCTCTCTCTCCCTCTATGTGTGCACACAAAGAAGAGGTTATGTGACCACATAGGGAGATGGTGGCTGCCTGCTAGCAAGAGTAGAGCCTCAGAATAAAACTTACCCAGCTGGTACCTTGATTTAAGACTTCACAGCCTCCAGAATTGTCAAAAAATTCATTTCTCTTGTTCAAACCATATAGTCTGTTATTTTGTTACAGCAGCCAGAGCAGACACATACAATGATATTTCAGGTGCATTTTCAAAGATGAATCAAAGCTTTCTTACAAAGATAAAACACATGGGAACAGAAATCAGTGAATGGGGAGAAGGGGTAGATGGAGAGTGAAGAAGAGATCAAGAACAAAACAAGGGCAAGGAGCAGCCTGAGTAAAAGAGCCCTTTGAAACAAAGCAGGACAGAAAACATATGCATGGTCAGAGATAGAATGTGAGGAAATTGGCATGTGATTTATTGTTTCTTTTTCCTGTGTCAAGCCAATCTTCTGTTGTCAAGGGAGGTAGGGATAAATAGGTGGCTTAAAGTAAATTATAAAGGTTTGAAATATTTGCTTTGGGGAATGAAAAAATGAACTAAGCACAAATCAATGGTGGTCCAACAGGATTATTAGAGCCAGGTTGGAAAGAGGTTTATAATGACTAATGAGTGTCTTTTAGTGGCGATAGTGATGGTGTTTTCCATGTGCAACAAAAGTGGAGGAAGCAGATGATTGGATTGGCCAGATCTAGCTGACTGGCAGGGCAGCTATGGCAGAAGCAGGAGGTAAGGTTACTGTGGGTGGTGGAAAAGGCTGCCTGGGTAATCCAATGCCCTGGCTGTGATAAAGAAAAAAACTGAAGTGAAGAAAGCAATAAATCTTGGAATGGGGCAAAGGTGTGAAAAGTTGAAAGAGAGGACAAAGGGGAAAATTTGGTTAGAGGATGAAGGAAAAAAAAGATAGATTCTATTTAATGGAATTAAGAGACAAGAAGTTTTAAATATTATTGGGAATGTATTTTAACTTGCGAAGTATGGCAGAGACTGGAGGAGCTCTTTACCACACCAGTTTCCCTTTCCCTCTGGATGTCTAGATAAATCACCACTCTGTAGGGAAGAAAAAGTAGTTTTCTCCTCCCCCATCACAAGGTTCGTGGCCAAGGACCCTATAAATAAAAGACAGATTAACAAGAAAAATGCATAACAATTTTATTTAATCAAAGTTTTACATGGAGTGGGAGCACTCATAAATGAAGGCCCAAAGACACAGGGAAAACTATCTTTATGTTAAGTCTGATGAAATAAAAGGATAGTTGTGAAGAAACATGTCTTGACAAAAAGGAATATGACCTAATGGTAATAAACTGGGGGAAACATAGGAAGGCCTGTTTGCTTCGTCTTCTCTGTGTCTCAGGCTGATATCCTCCCCAGGTATGGGGCAAGACACTTGTCACATGAGGATCTTCATGGGAGAAGGGAAAAGATCAGAGCCTGACCTTCCCAGCTTTTATGGCTTGCTTCAGTGGAGAGGATTTCTAGTTTCTATGACCCACTTGGGGGTAGAAAATGGGACTGGAGGAGGGAAGGCCAGAGTAGGTCGATGAAACTGTCTTGTTTCTGAGGCCTTCCCAATCTTATTCAGCTCAAAATCATCAGCATGTCAAAGTGTCATGCTTTCAGGTATCATATTCAGAGCCCAAATAATTCCCATCTGGCTTATGAAGCATAAGAATTAAAATAAACCACTTTCAAGAATGGGCTATAGTAACCTCCTGAATGTGATCCCCACTTCTTTGACCTTCTCTGGTGACCTTGGTAACCATGTGTTGAAGATGCAGAGCCACATGATGGAAGGAGAAGCACAGCCACTTGCAAATCAAAATCACCTGCTTTTACTATTGCCTTAATAATAGAGGGAGAAATACAAAATATTTTAGATATTTCAAGTGGATTATTTTCTACAAATGTTATAAGAATACTTTTCAATTTCTATAATATAAATGCTAAGTAAGCTTATTGCATGTGCGCCCTCATAATGCCATGTGTGCTTTCATAATGCCACCCAGCTAATCAGGGAATTGCTGTATGATTTCATGAGAAATATTTTCGGGGTTCCAAAGAGAATAAGTGTAGTAATGACCATGAGCTGTTTAACCAAGTATAATGATTAAAAATATAGGCAAATACTTACAAATTTTTAACTCAAAATGCCCAAACATATCTTCTGAACACATCCCTTGCTCTCTAGGTATCTCTATAAAACAGGGTGGGAGCTGAGTTTTGAGTGTAGAAGGGGGAGTTCAGAGAGGTAGAAACCCTGAGGAGAGACTTACGTACCTCAGTTCCACTTCTAACACCTTCTGAGTAGTTTCTCCTCCTCCTGCTTTCACCAAGTCTTTGAGTGACACAAACAAAGCCACTGTGTTTTGGGGGAAAAAAAATGCAATAGTCTCACAACCATTCTTCCTTTTAGCCTCCTAAGTGGTTTTCTAAGAGTATTTTACAGCTTGTTCCTCCAGATAAAAGAAGAGAACATTGTTTCAAAGCCGCCTCTAAAGCTCTATCCTTTCTCTTTTCACTTAGAAGACAAAGAATGCATGTAAATGCTAATGAGAGCTTTTGCATAAACAGAGGAAGAAGCAGTGAAAGGCCTTTTTTCTTAATCCCAGAAGTGGCAAAAATAAGTTTTTACCTCTGCTTCTTCTTAACTTGCCAAAGTCTACAACACTCTCCTCCCAGGCTCCCACATTCTTCTGAGAGATCAGCCCTGAGGAAGGTAAGGGATGGTAGAGCTTGGCCAGCCGGTAACAATAAGACAGACCATTTGTGAGCTTTAAGGGAGGGTGAGAAATTCTGATGACTAGGCACTGTTTAACAAAGCAAGTACTGAAGCCCTGGAGTGTTTTGAAAGTAACATGTTTTGGAGCCATTCAGACCTGAGTTAGACACTTTGTTCTATTGTTTAAGAGCTGTTTGCCTCAGATAAGCTATTTCCCTTCCTGGAATATCGGTTTTTCCTACCTCAACTGTGGGGGGGACGGGGGGGGGGGGGGGGAAGTATCAATCTTCATCAGAACTTGTTTATGAAAAATAAAGATGTTGGCCGTGGCGCCCGGTGACCTCACGCCTGTAATCCAGCCCTTTGGGAGGGCGAGGAAGGTGGATACGGGACAGGAGTTCAAGATCAGCCTGGTCAAGATGGTGAAACCCTGTCTCTACTAAAAGACAAAAAAATTATTGGGCATGGGTGGCACGCGCCTGTCATCCCAGCTACTCTGCAGGCTGAGGCAGAGAATTGCTTAAACCTGGAGGGCGCAGTTGCAATGAGGCGAGATCACGCCACTGCACTCCAGCCTGGGCAACCAGAGCGAGACTCAGTCTAAAACAAAAAAAAAAAAAGAAAGAAAGAAAAGAAAAGAAATTAAAGAATTAAAGATAATAGTTGGCCAGGTGCAGTGGCTCACGCCTGTAATCCCAGCACTTTGGGAGGCCGAGGCGGGTGGATCGTAAGGTCAGTAGATCAAGACCATCCTGGCTAACACGGTGAAACTCCATCTCTACTAAAAATACAAAAATTAGCCTGGCGTGGTGGCGGGTGCCTGAAGCCCCAGCTACTTGGGAGGCTGAGGAAGGAGAATCACTTGAACCCTGGAGGCGGAGTTTGCAGTGAGCTGAGATGGTGTCCCTGCATTCCAGCCCAGGCAACAGAGGGAGACTCTGTCTCAAAAAAAAAAAAAAAACCCAGTTTAAGTAATGCTTGGAGCCTAATAAGGAAAATATTAAATGGGAGCAACTTGATCAGTCAAGAGATATTTGAGTACCCTACTATATGTGATATCAGCTTTGTAAAATTAGCAGGGAAATGGTAGGGGAAGTAAGGTGAGTGTATTAGGGAATTGGGGTTTCAACGCAAAAGTATTTGAGACAGGTCTCAATCCAGAAAGTTGATTTTGGCAAGGCTAAGGATGGGCTTGTGACACAGCCTCAGGAGGCCCTGATGACATGTGACCAAGGTGGTTGGGGCACAGCTTGGTTTTAGACATTTTAGGAAGACATGAGACATCAACCAGTATGTGGGAGATGTACACTGGTTGTGTCTGGAAAGGCTTCCAAGTCACAGGTGGATAAGGAATAAACAGTTGCATTCTTTTGAGTCTTTGATCAGCCTCTCACTAAATATACAATTTGCATGTGAGAGAGGGTAGAGAAATAGTCACTTATGCCTTAGTCTGACTCAGTGAATCTGCATTTTTACATAAACAGTAGGACAGAGGAAGCAATCAGATATGCATTTGTCTCAGGTGAGCAGAGGAATGACTTCTGTCCTTCCCTGCTCCCCCCCCTCCCCCCGCCGCCACCCATCTGTGAAGATAAGCTATCTATTTACATTGCCCAAGGTGAAATTCAACAGAACTGTTTTAGGGTAAAAACCTTGAGACCCACAAGGATTTTCCTGTGCTGGATAATCTTCAAACAAAGACAATAATAAGATCATAATTACACCTAACATAATACAACTATCCTTTTTACAACTGGAAATGTAGCAATCCCCAACTCAAATACTATTACATAAAGTTAACAATACTTCAATGCTGGTATGATTTCAATAAATCTTATTTCACATAATAGAGGAAATAAAGATATTTTCTTATGTACAAGTGTATACGTGCACAAACATGTTTTTAGCAAAAGAAGGAGGAAATACTCATGACAATTACAGTCCTCATTTCTGCAGCTGGTCACGTGGTTGTAGCTGGTATTGATGACTGCCTTCTTCTACTACCCATTCTGTATTCCCTTTGCCTTCAGTAAGCACCTCGGGAGATCATGGATTTTTTCCTGGTGGAGTAACAGAAACCCTCATTCCTGAGAACTACAAATCTGGCCCATTTGTAGTCCTGCCTGGATTGGGCTATTGTAGTTTCCCATTGACCTTAATCACAGGGCATGGTAATACTAAAAGATGCCCTAGTGGATCTCCTATATTCCATGCATACTCTTCCTTACTACTCTTGTGGAGTAGTAGACTGATTTCATCTTGATAGTCCGGGTCAATCACCCCAGCCAACACTGTAACTCCCTTCTTAGCCTGTTGACTTAAAGGTAGGAGGAACCCAAAGTGTCCAGGTGGCAATCATAACTTCCAGTTTAATGGAATCATTGTGTCTCCTGGTGGCAGCTTCCCTCCCTCTGGAACTAAGGCCTCTAGGACAACAGAATGTAATGTTGCAGGAACAGGAAGCAAACATTTTGCTAGTGGATCACTGGCGGTGATGGTGAGTGGTGAGTGGTGCTACTTCCACTTCCACCCCTTGATTTCTGAACCTGTGAATCCTGGCTATGGGAGAAATAGTACCATATATTGGATGCTGATTTGGAACATACATGACCTTCTGGAGAACTCTGCCTCACCCTGCAAAGTAGTGTCGCCTCAGTGTTGTAATTGTGGCTTCAAAAAGTCATTCCACCGTTCTATCAATCCAGCTGCTTCAGGATGATGGGGAACATGGTAAGAGCAGTGAATTCCATGAGCATGAGCCTATTGCCGCACTTCTTTAGCTGTAAAGTGAATGTCTTGGTCAGAGGCAATGCTGTGTGGAATACCATGACCGTGGATAAGGCATACCATGAGCCAATGGATGGTAGTCTTGACAGAGGCATTGTGTGAAGGATAGGCCAACCCATATGCGGAGTAATTGTCTATTCCAGTGAGGACAAACCTCTGCCTGTTCCATGATGAAAGAGGTGCAATATAATCAACTTGCCACTAGGTAGCTGGCTGATCACCCCGAGAAATGGTCCCGTATTGAGGGCTCAGTGTTGCTCTCTGCTGCTGGCAAATTGGGCACTTAGCAGCAGCCATGGCCAGGTCAGCCTTAGTGAGTGGAAGTCCATGTTGGTGAGCCCATGTGTAACCTCCGTTCCTACCACCATGGCCACTTTGTTCATGATCCCATTGGATGATGACAGGGTGGCTGGGGAAAGAGGCTGAGTGGTGTTCATAGAACAGGTCATCCTATCCACTTGATTAAAATCCTCCTCTGCTGAGGTCACCCGTTGGTGAGCATCCACATGGGATACAAATATCTTCACAGTTTTTGACCACTCAGGGAGCTCCATCTACATACCTTTTCCCCAGATGTCTTTGTCACCAATTTTCCAATTATCCTTCTTCCAAGTCCCTGACCATCCAGCCAAACCATTGGCTACAGCTTGTGAATCAGTATATAATCACATATCTGGTCATTTCTCCTTCCATGCAAAGTGTACAACCAGGTACACTGCTCAAAGTTCTGCCCACTGGGAAGATTTCCCTTCAACGCTGTCCTTCAGGGATGTCCTAGAAAGGAGCTGTAGTGCTGCAGCTGTCCACTTTTCGGTGGTGACTGCATATTGTGAAGAGTCGTCTGTGAACCAGGCCCTAATCTTCTCTTCCTCTGTTGACTGATCATAGGGAACTCCCCATGAGGCCATCGGTGCAGGCTTGGGGAGAGAAGGCAGGATGGCAGCAGTGGAGACCAGGGGCATTTGAGCCATTTCCTCATGTAACTTACTTGTGCCTTCAGGACATGCTCAAACCGGGTCAGGCATGTACCGCTTCCATTTGATGATGGAATGCTGCTGTACATGACCCGCTTTATGGCTAGATGGGTCAGAAAGCATCCAGTTTATGATAGGCAATTCAGGTGCCATGGTGACTTGATGACTGGTAGTCAAACGTTCAGTTTCCACCAAACTCCAGTAACAAGTTAAGAGTTGTCTCTCAAAAGGAGAGTAAGTATCTGCAGAAGATGGCAGGAACTTGCTTCAAAATCCTAGAGGCGTCTGCTGTGATTCAGCTATGACGACCTGCCAAGGCTCCAAACAGCATCGCTATTTGCCACTGACATATCAAACACCATTGGAAAAGTACAGAAGCCTGGACCTGTTGCAGAGGCTCCTCCTGTTCTGGACCCCACTCTAAACTGGCAGTCTTTTGGGTCATTCAACAAATGGGCTGAAGTAACACACCCAAATGAGAAATGTGTTGCCTCCAAAATTGAAATAGGCCCACTAGGCATTGTGCCTCTTTCTTGGTTGTAGGAGGGGCCAAATGCAGCAACTTATCCTTCACCTTAGAAGGAATGTCTCAACAGCCCAAATGTCCCTACACCATTGAACCCCTAGAAATTTTAATGAGGTAGAAGGTCCCTGAATTTTAGTTGGATTTATTTCCCATCCTCTGGCACACAAATGTCTCACCAGTAAGTACAATGTGTTTGCTTCTTCTTGCTCACTGGATCCAATCAGCATAATGTCATCAATGTAATGGACCAGTGTGATATCTTGTGGAAGCAAAAAGCGATCAAGGTCTCTCCAAATAAGATTATGACACAAAGCCAGAGAGTTGATATACCCCTGAAGTAGGACAGTAAATGTATATTCCTGGCCTTGCTGACTGAAGGCAAATTGTTTCTGGTGGGCCTTGTGGACAGGAATGGAGAAAAAGACATTTTTCAATTCAATGGCTGCATACCAGGTGCCAGGAGATGTGTTAATTTGCTCAAGCAATGAAACCACATCTGATACAGCAGCTGCAATTGGAGTCACCACTTGGTTAACCTTACGATAATCCACTGTCATCCTCCAAGATCATCTGTCTTCTGCACAGGACAAATGGGAGAGTTGAATGGGGATGTGGTGGGAATCACCACCCCTATGTCTTTCAAGTCCTTGACGGTTGCACTAATCTCCGCAGTCCCTCCAGGGATGCAATATTGTTTTTGATTTACCATTTTTCTAGGTAGAGGCAGCTGTA